AAAACCCCAAAACCCCAAAACCCCAAAACCCCATGAATGAAAGATATAGAATTTTTAGGGCATAAAATTTATTTTCAGATAAATCATTTATTATAATATGAAAGAGTAAAGTAATCATAAGAGCTCATTGTCAATAGCTTTGATCAATTAACAACTAGGAACTTCAAAGGATAAGTCGATGGCGCAAAGACAATCGAAACTTTCATCAATTATCAATTCTGAGCCTTAATCAGGGAAAAGATTGTTTTACTAATCATACAACGAGAGTATATTTAAGGATGTAAGAGCAAATAACAACAGCAACTCCAATATTTTTAACAATTACAACTTACTGGGCCACTCTTAGCCCCAAAATTCTTTAAAAACAGAGGAAGCTAAAGCCAAAGATAATATGAACAGTGAGAATATTAGAAAAGAAAGCAAGGTTGATTCTAATAATGATGCCTATCAGATAAAATCAGATCTAAGTAGATCAAACATTTCATCGAAAATTTCAGCAGCAAATAAGAACTATCTTGATAGAAAGAGAAGTCTAGATATTCACAATAAATCCCAGAAAAACTAACTCACAGAGTTAAACCATAAGATATTTTCACCTTTAATGAGAAAGAACAGATTTGAGAACTAGGACTATGAGTAAATATTTAAAACCAGATTTCTGCTCATTAAAAGAGGCAAGAAACTTAGACGCATTGTAATGAGATGGGTTGAATTTACAAAGCAAGGGAAATTCCTCTACTATTTGAAGAGTGATTCAGATCAACCTTAGGGGTGCTATTCTTTGTATCAATCTAGCTTTAAATTGATTGAAATCCCTTACACCTAAATGATATTCAAAGCTCTAAACAACCTGTAGCAGTAGCAGTCTGTTTCAATGAGGAATTCTGTTTAGATAGATTCCAAGATTAGTGAGGCACTTAGTTAAGCATCTTCATAAGAAATAAATCTTGGAGTCATAAAAGTCATACAATTCTTTAAGGCTAATACAGAAGAACCACAATTCTAGATACTTGCTAATCCAAAAGATCAGATAAATTTCAACTTCTAAATTATTGATATTCTTCATGAAGTTTGCTAATGAGCAACTTTAGGAGAACTAAGCGATTTATTAGGTATCAACAAATCAGCTGTTTACAAGTCTTTAGCTTCATTTACCAATCAACAAGATAGCATTAGCAGCTATGATAATAAGATATTATCTATAGTATCTAAGGAAACAGAGTTTAAGGATATGATACCTTAATAAAAATAAGCCTAGCCAAATATATAAGACATTTAAGAAAATATAGAGAAGCCATTTATCCTAATTGAAAATGAGGACTAAAGTTTATCAAGCTCATCATTGTAAAGTCATAAGTCTCCAAATGTTGATCATTAGAGAGATTAAAATGAGACACTTGAATTAAAACCCCAGCCTTTAACCATGATAGTTTAATCTGTTAAACCACAACATAGCAGAAGAATTGATATGTTTGGAATGAGAAAATCTAATCCTAATTTAAACTTAAAAAAAAGTTTGATTAATCTCAAAGATGTGAAGAAGGAATACAATAAACTGCAAGATGAAGAAGATGAATTTGATTTTAATGAAGATAAGGTTTAATCTGAAAGAGAATTGAATGAGGATCTTGAAGGAACATAAATAATGGAGCTTAATACAATTAATACAGTAAGGAAGCTAAGAAAAGGTGCAATGACATATCAATCGCCCTCTGAACTTGAGGAAACCTAGCAAAATGTTAAAATAAATCCAATAGCTGATTTTAATCCTGATTAAAATATTTCAAGTTGATAGTAATCTGTTGAAGTCAGCAGATTTACTAGGACTCAGAGAGAGTTATGCAAAAAGATTAATTTTAATGCTGAAGACACAAAATAAAACAATAAACTTTCTCAAACTTTAAACCAAGGAGATACTGATGACTTAGAGGACTTTAAAGACGATGAAGATGAACAAATAATATAAAGTGTAATATACTAGGCTCCTTAGAATAAGAATAAATACAAAGGCAAAGTCTATTTCTTTGATAATGATTTGCAAAGTTAGACAATAATGATGGAAAATAATCCTTTAGATACCTTTACAAAGAATTTCTGTGACTAGGATTCGATCCTACACCAATAGGAAATATTACTTAAACTAGACTTTAACTTGAATTCAAATGATACAACCGTCATTAACCACAATTTGCAATAGTTCGAGGAATAGAATGAATATTAGATTCTAGAAGATAATTAGAATTACAACTCGTATCATTAAAAAGAAAATAGTCGAACAAGCAAATCAAATATATCATAAAAATATAAGAGGCTAGCAACAGGATATAATATGGACAGTAATCTTAACTCTGTAAAGCATGATTTTACATAGCTATCTATAGATGCTAAGGTAAGGGTACTATAGTAGAATATGCAGAATTCTCTTTACGATAGACATGATATCCTTGATGAAAATCCCTACGAATGCTGTGATCCAATTTAGATAAGACCAATTAATTTAGAGCTAGCCTAAAAGATCACAGATTTCATTGGCTAGAACGAAGGTGATATGGGGAATTCCTGTAACAATAATTCTAACTAATCAAGATCACATTCCTAAATAGGAGTAATGAGAAGAAACATTAATTGGAAGTAAAACCTAGAAGATATGAATTCACAAAAAATTAATATGAAAGATTGGAATAGTAATCAAGCACTCTATCATGGAATTGAATTTAGCTGGAATATGAAGCTTTAAAAAGCTAAATAAATATTTAAGCATTTTGAGAAGCAATAAGTAAAAGGCAGGATCGATTTTCGACATACTCTTCACAAAATTGAACTCAAGATATTTGAAGTTCTTATTACAGGGAAAAAATCTCTAATTGATGTAAGCATGGTTAAGATTCTAGAATTTGAAGAATAACTGCAACAATTAAAATCTAATTGGAATAAAGTCTAAGCTACAGCTACAGAGTAGAAAGTGAAAGAGAAATTTACTAGGGATGAAAACTCCATTATACTCTTCAAAAGTAGTGATAGATTTTCAAATCTAAGACAAAGTCAAAACTTCTAAAAACCATATCTAGATCATAAAGGACTAAATTAAGAATTATCATTAGAGTTACTTGAGATTATAACAGCCGAAAACTTAATGTTCAAAGGAGTATTAAGATTTCTTTCAGGGTAGAAATTCAAAGCATTTATGATTTTCAGAGAGTGTTGGAAGACTTATAAGAAGTATGAACAGATACTATAAACAAAATTGAAAATTTCTGAAGATGATATTCAAAATGACAAAAAATATTGGTATTTTGATGGGGATTTCAAGGCAAGACTATATTTAGGACTTGGCTTATTTTATCTGGGAATTTCAGCCTTACCAAAAAGTTTAACTACTATCATTAGATTAGTAGGTTTTACTAGTGGTAATAAGGATAAGGGAGGTTAGTATTTGCAAAAATGTATTGATATCAAATAGAGTAGATCTCCTTATGCTGCTTTGATTATTTCTTTATTTCACATTGACTAAGAACCCTAGTTAGAGAGAGTGTGCTCACTTTTAAAGGTCTAACTATAAGCATATCCTCATTCTGCCTTGTTCCATTGGGTATCCTCTATAGTGAGTTGGAAACTAGCTTAATTAGATGATGCAGTATATTTCATTGAAAGAGCAATTAGTATATGTCCAAAGGAGCTTTCCTCACAAGCAGCTTTTTTGAAATATGAGATTGGATGGTTCCATTATCTCAAATTAGAGTTTCAAATTTCTCTATATAGATTCAAAGAGGTTCTAAGAGATTGTCTTAATCTCGATCTAGATGAAAATGAAAATGGAAAGTTAGAGGGATTTCCAATAGAGGACTAGTTAGAAAATTTAAGCTTGCAAAAGACAAATAGTCAAAATAGAGATATTTTAGGTGAAAGTGCCAATGATACATAGATCCATCAAGATTTGATAAGGAAATTTGCACAAAATAGTCATAATGATAATAGTCCTAAGAAATCATAACTAAAGGCTGAAATTAAAAGCAAAAAGGCTTCTCCAGCCTCAAGGAAAGAAGATTTTGTCTACTTACCACATAGGGCGTGTTTAACAATTTAACTAGCAGGAGTATATGTTGCATTAAAAAGAGATGATTTAGTGTTTCATTGGCTTCAAACAACTATTGCTCTTGGAAATTAGCCGGGCATTACAAGATCAAAACTTGATTAGGAAATGGGTCACCTTGCATTCATATATATTAATCATAGAAAAATGACAGATCTCTTGACCTATGAGATTATCTACTTTCTGCATCAAATGCCTAAACTTCCAAATACCATACTACTTCAAATTATTTCAAATATCACCGACATAATGAGAAAAGTTAATCTTAGCCTTAACTGTGCTGATCCTTCAACTTACAAAGACTCAACTTATTTTCCTGATTATGTTAGTGGCATGATGCTCACAATCGTATGCTATTGCTTTTTAGGAGATTCTGATATCGCTTAGTTGTTTAGCTATCGGCTTATAAAAGCAATAGTTCATCTGCCATAGCATTATAACTATCTTGCTGTGCATTCATATTACTGGGCAGGTAGAAGCATGCTAGCAGAGTCTAATAAAAGAGAAGCAGAACAGATGTTGCTTAAAGCTAAGAAGTACAAGAAATATGAGTTTTCTATTGATAATAAAATAGAAAGAGTCTTATAAGATATTAAAAAGTGAATCAGAGATTTAATAATCTACCAATATCTGATTAAATTTATATTTAAAACGAAGTTGCTTTTGAAAGTATTTTAATATCAGTTCATTTTTCAATAATAATTGATTGAGGGGTTTTGGGGTTTTGGGGTTTTGGGG